TTTGTATCGAAAACTGTTTTTTTTTAAATAATAACAAAAATACTAAAGAACTTTGGACTATTTACCTAATGAGTTCTTTCCTATTTTCTATATATTTTTACACACACACACACACACACACACACACACACACATATATATATATATATATATATATTCACTATTTACATTATTCTGATTATTGTCCTCATCTTTGTCGCCATATTTATTACAACGTTTCGGCCGTTGTACGCTCCGGCCTTCTTCAGGTAGTTGGAATGTCGAACTGAACCCTTTATTTCACTCACTGAAGTAGACTGTTTTAGTTCCCCGTGCCATGTTTAATGGATGTGAGTTATCAGTTATCTCCTTTTAATTCCACTCTCCAAGTTCTCCACCGCCTTAACCAGGTATTGAACTCACACTCTTTGGGTCCTGTCACTGGATCTAACTAACGCCTTTATCCACTGTGCCATGTGTCCTCCACACGCGGTCAGATATGGCACAAGGCCGAATTTAATCTGGGGTATTAGTTCGACATTCCAACCACCTGAAGAAGGCGGGAGATGAGGACAATAGTCCGAATAATGTAAAGAGTGTACATAATACCTCATCTCAGAAATATATATATATATATATATATATATGTGTGTGTGTGTGTGTGTGTGTGTGTGTGTGTGTTGTCTTAATTGATTAAATTATATTGATCAAAAAATGTTGAGTAAATTAGGCTGCGTGATGAAATTAACAATTTCCTCTCACATTAAATTTTAGTATTCAACAAACATAGAATAAAGACAACATAAGAACCAACAGTTTTTGCACAACAATGAATAAAATATTTATATAAAAAATATACAAAAACAACTGGATTAAAAAGGTAGTTTTAAAAAGTTCAAACGTCCTTTTTATGCTTAGATTAAAGGTTATCAAAGTTCTTGTTTGATAGATTATAAGTTGTTGAATGGTCTGTACAATAATTAGAAAACGTGTTTAGGTATTATAGTAATTTAAGAAAAAATAAAAAGTTCAAGTTAAAATAGAGAAATATTGTTTACGACTTACTTTAAGGTTTACAGAATTGGCGCTCTTTGATTTGTTTTCACTGGTTCGAAGAAAATATTCTAGTTGGGGTAAGTGGTTCTTAACAAGTTGCGTTTATGTTAATTGCAATAATTAACGTTGATCTTGAAAGCGTATGAAAAAGATTCGTGTATTAAGTTGAATGTAGAAAACTTGAGTTGATTGTTCGTCATAAAATATTCCTGTGTGAATGAGTGTTTTCTCAGGCTGGAATCATTTTAAGGAACTTTAACGTAAAGCCTGGAACTGTGTGACGAGTTCAAAGGATTCCGATCGGCTCACTGTCGAAGATGAAAGACGTTTCATATTTTATTGCTAACTTTAGTCACGTGTTAGGCTCACAGAGGCTTGACAGATTTTGGTGGAATTATTTTTTTTGGTCAGGTCAAGAACTAGGTCGAAGTTATTAAATGTTAAGGGACAAATTAGAAGTTGAGGTGTTCTGAAAATATTTATTAAACTGAATAAGCTCTGTGATCCACTTTTTGTACAAAAATTGATGTTGATATAAAGGTGGTAGCGTTATGCTATATATACATATACATATATATATATATATATATATATATATATATATATATATATATATATATATATATATATATCCATGAGTCTGTAATTGGTCAACATTTGCTAGACAATCATGCTTGTGCCTCTGAGCACGAAGACACGTGGTTTTCGGTTTTACTGAGTGCTCAATCAACACACCATCTTCGAGTTTCTGAAGCCGTCTATATTAAGTGTCAGCAACCCAGTCTGTGCAGACAGAAGGAACGCTTTTTACGTTCCTTACGTCTGCTGGAGGGTCTGTGTGTCCCCCTTTTTCTATTTTATATACTCTTGTGGAACTATTTATTTACATCCCCCCTCCTTCAATTTTAATTTATATAATTAAAATTTGTCTTTTAGTCGAGTTCCACCTTTCCCTCCTCAATCACTTCATTAAGTGTGTCTTTGTATTCATTTATATCTAATATTGCCAAAGAATATCTTTGAAAAAGCGTTGGCCAAAAAAAAAATTCTTACAATTAAAAATAACACATTTCTAAAAAACATATTTCGGATTACATCTATATTTTCGTTGTCCTGTTATTATTGGTAAGTAAAAACAAAAACAAATCCATTTCCATACCTGATGATGTCCGTAGGAATAGATGAAAGCTTGTAAAAAAACAGACCTTATGCAACTGGAATTTATAAACATGGATCATAACATTCATCTACAGGTTCGGGGTTAATGTACTTCATTAAATTTGTTCGCGAAGATGTATTCTCGCCATTTATATCATTAACTTCTATATCTGTTTTTTGTGTGAATGATTCATGTATATATATAATTTAAATAAAAAAAGACCACTTTAAAGTTCCATGTAATAAATTATTTATTTATTTAGTCCTTTAAAAGGGCGGTGGTGAAATAATTTATTACATCGAACTCTGTTTTTATTTAAATTATTTGCTCTGGATTTACATTGTGCTCTCTGGATTTTATCCTCCTTGGCTTTGCCCATACGGATTACCTAGTTTTTCTTAAACTAACCAACTATATATATATATATATATATATTATTATTATTATTATTATTATTATTAAACTAACCAACTATATATATATATTATTATCTCAAATAACAACTTAAAAGAGACTGTTTGACCAACACAAGGAATGTTAAAAGATTCATGTTAAAAAGATAAAAAAATAAAAAAAACAAATGAAAACTACAGACAAAAGTTCATTTTTCTCCAGCCAAAAGATACATTTCTGTAGTTTACTGCTACCAACAACGAAATATTTCTCCTCCCGATGATGGCCATGTTGGTCGAAACTAGTCGAGGAATCTAAATGAAATAATAATAAAAAACGAAAGAATACTAATCTACAACCCAGTGTGTCTAACGATTTTAATTTTTTTATATTAATTTTTTTATAATTTTTTTATATTTTTCATTTATCAATATATATATATATATATATATATATATATATATATATATATATATATATATATATATTATAATGTTCAGCTTATATATTATATCAAAAGAAAATCAGATCCGCAATAAATAATATTTAGAATTTTAAATTCTGTGGAAAAAGACTAAGACATTTTACTCTACTAACTAGATTATACTTAAGTCCATGTTAATTTAACTGAAAAATATATATAACAACAAAGCTTCGTGGAGTTATCACATTACAAAATTCAAACGAAAATTCTCATTGATTGTTTTTATAAACGTTTCACCCCAAGCAAGGCGAGAAGCCACTAGCACGCAAGGGGTTACAGAGAGTTGGAGCGAGAGCAAATAGGAGTGAGAGAGGAAAGGATGAAGAGAAGGATAGGGGATAGATCAGGGCAACTGGAGACGTCGATTGAAATTACATTTGAATAGTTGGAGATTATAGTTATCAGGGAAACAGGAAAAGGGCAGGGATTTCTTCAGGCGAGAGGTGCTTGACAAGAACATTAGCGTCGCGGCATCGCAAGCCCCAAAATAATATAACTGTCAATACATAGCATATTTAAAAAAAAAAACATGTTTCGGTCTACGGTACACATAATTCTTAGTATTTTGCCTGTATATGGAAAATTGCGCCCCAAAGACGACAATTTGAAAATTGTTGAAAGTACTTGGCTCGTCAATTCCATTTGACAACAACTCAAATATAAAGATTGTATTATTCAATGAATTGATAGTAAGTTAATGTTTCATTAAGTCTAGTTAGCGAAGTAATTTCACCATTAATCACATTAAAATTGCTAAATTATTCTATGTTCATATGGACTTTTGTCCTTGTTTTGGTGTGAGGAAGCCACCCCCAAAGTTTGTTAAATTATTTTTGAACCAGCATATATATATATATATATATATATATATATATATATATATATATATATATATATATATGTGTGTGTGTGTGTGTGAAAAAGTGTATATATAAATATAAATGAATATATAGATATATAATTATTTATATATTATATGCGTGGTACTTATTAAGCGCTCAATATCAGAGATAGAGCTAACATATTTGGTTGGATAGATGTGAGTTTGTGACCCTGGGTTTCACGCTTTAGCGATCATATATATATATATATATATATATATACAAAAAAAAAAAGAACTAAGAGTAATATTTCTAGCTTCATAACATTAATTTTAATTTAAAACAGGGCTCAATACAAAAGAAGAGCCGTAAATATTTATTTATTATGTAGTGTTGCATTCGAACATGCACATACCCACTACAAAATTGTACATCTTGTTTCAACGTTAAAAAAACCTTTTTTAACGTTTCATCAGATGGGTAATCATGATGCTATTAAAATATTTTATTCAGAAATGCAGTTATCGAAACATAACTTCCACTTCCGTCAACGGAAAGCTTCCCATAAAAGATATAAAATGTTTACATGTGGAGAAAGAAATAAATCTAAGTGATTAGTAACAGCGAAAGGGAGAAGAAAAAAAAATTAATGTTGAAACAAGATTTACAGTTATGTAGTGGGTATGTGCATGCTCCTAATGTAACACTACATATATATATATATATATATATATATATATATATATATATATAAAGTGTGTGTGTGAGAGGAAGACACCGTATGTTTGTATGTGTGTAGTTATCGTGATATTTATATAACTGTATATAACTGACCTGTCTTTTATTCTTCTCGAACAATTGTCAAATCTGGTTGACAGACAATATACAATCTTTCAAACGTGGTCCGGTGGCATCATGTGGGAGGCATTAATCGTGTCTTTCGATAAAACTCTTTCTTTTTACTGCGGACATAAAATGGCCAGCTTCTGTCCATTTTATGAATGCCAGACAATGGCTTTTCCCGACGTAGAAGCAGTCGGAGTTGGAGGTTCAAAGATAAAAATCACAGCCGGAACACATGTGTCGTTCCAGTCGTCAGTTTTCGATTCTAAGCGTTAAAAAGTGTTTCTTTGCTTTTTTTAGTTGTGAAAAGTGAAAGTTTATATCGAATGTAACAGCAACATAAAGATAGATAGATAGATAGATAGATAGATAGATAGATAATGAACAAGCTAAGATATATCTGATATACAGGTAAATTGAAATGTAGCTGTTTATTTTATACATGATGGACTAAATTATAGCTAGACAGGAGAGTCCATCATACATAAAATATGGAGTCATTTTCAGTCACTTTTTATACATAGAAATTAATGATCTGAGATAGATAGATAGATAGATAGATAGATAGATAGATAGATAGAAAGAAAGAAATTATATATAAATAGAGAGAGAATGTGTGAGAGAGAGAGAGAGAGATGAATGAACAGACTGAAATAGATAGATAGATAGATAGATAGATAGATAGATAGATAGATAGATAGATAGATAGATGTGCACCTCGAGTCGTTGTAAGGGTTAGCAAGAACAGTTACGACTGAATAGAGAGTTCGATCCTAATTGGGTGCCCCATACTTTCGGCTTTGTGCCACATCTAAGCTACGCTTGGAAAATCACTAGAAAGAAAGAAAAAAGAAAGAAAACACCAATGGACATAGATTGTTATCTCTCTCTCTCTCTCTTTCTCTCTCTCTTTCTCTCTGTATATATATATATATATATATATAGAGAGAGAGAAAGAGATAACAATCTCTCTCTCTCTCTTTCTCTCTCTCTCTCTCTGTATATATATATATATATATATATACGGTTTCGAATCTCACCATGGTGAATTTGTCAGGAACAAAACTGATGTTTGTTATCGAAATGGAGGGGTCGATCCAAGCGTGCGGCACCTTTGGAAACTGCCTGAAAACCATACCACGGGTTGACCCAAGCCTTGTGCGTGAAATTGGGTAGACGGATACTTTGGGGGCCGCCGATAGCTGTGCTAGAACGAAGTCACAAGTCATTGTGGCCGAGAGCTTGACCGTGCTGGCCTTGTTCAAATTGTTGATCACACTAGATAACTCGCTCTTTTCCAGAAACTGTAACTAAGGTCTGCTCAGCATAGTTGCAGTATAAACTATAGGTGGACTGTCGGTGTTCAATAAACACTCTGTTCAATAAACACTTGCCTGAGCAAGCGTCTAAATAGGGATTGGTTAGCCTATCTAGTAGACAGGTATCGTGGAATACGAGTGGCCAGCTATATACAGAGAGAGAGGGAGAGCGATAGAGAGAGAGAGAGAGTGAGAGAGAGAGATCGCTTTTAAACAGATATGAAGATTCTGACATAGACAGATAGATAGATATGAACAGATTGTGATAGATAGATAGATAGATAGATAGATAGATAGATAGATAGATAGATAGATAGATATGAACGTACTGAGACAGACAGATAGATAGAAAAGTAATGGACATAGAGTGCTATCACTCTTTATATATATATATATATATATATATATATATATATATATATATATAGAGAGAGAGAGAGAGAGAGAGAGAGCGAGAGAGAGGGGGAGAGAGGGAGAGAGAGAGAGGGAGTGATCGCTTTTAAATAGATATGAAAAATCTGAGCTAGATAAATATGTACTGACTGTGAAAGATAGATAGATAGATACATAGATAGATAAATAGATATGAAAAGACTGAGATAGATAGATAGATAGATAGATAGATAGATAGATAGATAGATAGATAGATAGATATGTACTGACTGTGATAGATAGATAGATAGATAGATAGATAGATAGATTGGTTTATTTACCATGTTTTATCGCTAAAATCGCTTTTACGGTTTCATAATTGATGCTAATTACCAGCTATAATGTCACCAGGGGGAATTTTCTCGTCTAAGACGCTGTTCAATAAAACATTCGTTTTGTTTTCCGGATACTGTAGACTTACGTTCCGTATCCGTCCAAAATGACATAACCCACCCACTTCCCTCTGCTCAAATCACTGTTGATATTTACATAGATTTACGTTCCTATTTGAGGACAGTTCGATGTTTACATCTTGTTAGATTGTTTCTGATAAGGGAAATCAAAACATATTACTCACTCAGTCAGTCGCTCAAAGTACCTATCCTTTCAACAGATCATTGATTAAATATTATTATATTTTTTAGCCAGTATCGTGAGACCAATTTGTCAAACGGGATACCATTCTGAAAACTGAAAGCAATCGTTTTATCGATCCTTAACGGGTGATCATTATGGACTATTGCCAATCGATCCTGCGAGCTGGTCGCGTGAACTGATTGAATGTTTGTCCTTCAAGCGGCAATGAAAATGGAGATTTCGTCGTCTGTTAATAAATCATTTCCTCAGGCACAAGCTCATGAGAAAGGAGCATCGAGGGGAACAAACTACAATTAAAATCGTCTTCAAGACGAACTTTCTTCTACTTTTATATGCCATATCCCTTCAGGCTATGGGCCCTCCACAGCTTCCTACATTGTGTACCTCTAAGTAAACGTTGTCCCTATCCCTTCTCTATTTTTTAACGTTATTTGATGTCACCTTCTGCTTTAGTTGCCTTCAATATGACCTGTGAGTGTTAAATTCTCTAAGCCTTCTTTCCTCATGATGCTCCCAGGTTATTTCCACTGTTTTTCGTTTTCCTCCTTTTCGGTTTCATTATTGATTCCACGTTAACAATGTGGGATTGCGTTCTATTTTGAATTACTCTTTTTTGGGCTTGCCTGAAGTTGTTCGAGCTTCCGATGGGAAATGTAGCACAATAAGGCGAATATTATTGGTTGCATTTCTGGAAATGGCGTACAGAAAACATTAGTGTCAGGTAATGCTCCAGAATTTTGTGACGAAAGTCAACGTTATTGGTTAAGGAAAATTCGATGTATCTCATATAAAACCCCGCCATATTGGTCCGTAATCAAATTGAATTGTAGAACGAATGGTAAAGACTATAAAACTCGGGATCGAGTGCATTTTCTCCTCATCGAGATGAGAATATAATCTTACGAAGACTATTACATAGTTACAGAACTATAACACATGCTGATAGATTAGAAAGTTCGTCTGTATTAATGAGGAAATGAGTAAGAGCTCCATTAACAATGTTATATTCCATTTATAAAAAATATGGCACTAGAAAAATAGAGACTCTGCATTCGAAAAGACGAAAATCGTCTGCAAGACGAACTTTGTTCTACTTTCAGGCTGTGGGCTCTCCACAGCTTCCTACATTTTGTATCTCTAAGCAAAAGTTGTCCCTATCCTTTCTCTAATTTCTTTACGTTATTTGATGTCACCTTCTGCTCTAGTTGCCTTCAATATGACCTGTGAGTGTCAAATTCCCTAAGCCTTCTTTCCTCATAATGTTTCCCAAATATGTCAACTGTTTGTTTCTCTTTCTTTTTGACTCTCTTACCTTCCAATTCTCCAACTCTTCTTTCCTCATAATACTCCCCAGTCCTTTCCTCTGTTTTGCGCATTTTTTCTTTACGGTTTCATAATTAATTCTAATTACCAGCTATAATTTCATCAGGGGGAATTTTCTCGTCTAAGATGTTGTCTTCTATATGTACTGTTGTTAGACATTTTGACGGTCGTATTCGAGTATAGAATCCAGAGGTTAGCAGTGAATATTTCGGAGACAGTAGAAAGCATAGTTCAGGTTAGCAGTGGATATCGCAGCAAAGCAGCAGAGCGTAGTACTTCCTTCTGTCATCTTCGCCTGACAAATTGGTCATTCGGGTAGGGTAAACAAAAATGGCCGCCTTTATACACGACGGATAGAATGTTCTGCGGCTTCTGATTGGTTAACCTTCTATTGGTAAACTATAAAGTGAGTCAAGGCATTTGAACTAACTCACTAGTCATAGTATATATACACAAAAAACTGCAACAACTGTAAGTGTCAAATTCACTAAGCCTTCTTTCCTCACACTGTGTCTCAGAAATTTACACTATTTCTTACAGCCCCTTGCCTTCTATATATCTTATGTGTGTCAAATTCTCTAAGCCGTCGTTTCATTGTTTCTTTCTCTTTACTTGTGTCCCTCTGTTCTTCAGTATGAACCAAAGTGTTGTTTCCGTTTCTAATACCTTTAAAGCCCCCCGGTTCATAACCTTGTTCCATCCATGAACTTCCCATCATCCCACCTGTCTATCACCTCAATTTTCATCTTTATCTTTTAAGAGAATGCCAAACTTTCACTGCCATGCAGGGGTACAGATTTTCTTTGTTTTTAAAGGAATTATCCCGTTTCTAAATACTTTATTACGGCTTTTAAATGAAATCTTTCCCTATTCTAATGGAACCGGCTTTCGGTGTCGCATTTTCCGTCTTTTGTTAAAATACATTCAACATAGTTAAATTACGCTACTTACATTGATTTTGACATCTCCAATTTATAACACGCAACTTGGACAGTCCTTCTTACTAACGACCATAGATTTTGTCTGATTTCTTGTATCGTTGATAAAGGACACAAGCGTGTCCGAAAATTACAACGATAAAATGTTTCTCTCCATGCTTCTAAGAATATAAAACATATAATATTGACTTATTGCCAAAATTTTTATCGTTTTGTTGTATTTTATTACTGTGGATGATCTAGCGATTAAACCACTTACTAAACACACACACACACACACACACACACATATATATATATATATATATATATATATATATATACTACCAACTCGGGCATTACGTCTGACTGAAACATCGAAATGAATCAGTTTTAATATTTGAAATTACTAGGATCGACCTGGATTATATACAAACGGATTTATTACCTGTACTATATTGCTTCTATAATAAATAGTTGATCTGTCTCAGGATTAATCCATCTGGAAATTCTAACTACCTCTACAATCTGCCATCATGGATAAGTTTTGTCAGAAATACTCCCTGAAAAACATTCCATATCATCTGCACTCGTTCAATCTGTCTCTCACGGGTAAATATTGTGAAAAAATTACGATGGAAAGCGCCTTCCCATCTCAACTCTTCCGAAACACCAGATAACAAATACGAAACGTTACCTGGAAACTCCTGGATTCTTTTGAAAGAGACTTGTTTAACTTAGTTAAAAAAATGAAATTCAGTAAACTGTCCAACCAATTTGAAGGAAAATTAAACAAGGACATAAAAACTATTAAAAACACCAAAGACATTTGGGTTAGAGCTGACGAATCTGAAAAACATTTATAAATGTAACCATCCACACTACCATAAAATTCTAACTAACAAAATAACAGACGTTATAAACTTGAAAGATATAACAGTAGGATCTCCAAGTTCGACGATGAGATTGCCAAGTTAGCAAATAACTTAAATATTGCGGATAGGATAGAGAAGATCCATACTAAAAAACTTAAATTTTATTTAAGGATCACACACCCAACTTCGCTAATAATATACAGTTTAGACTAATAAATCCAGCTAAAACTGAACTAGGTCTAATCTATAAAAACAATATAGTAAAAAAATAACCGACAAACTATTAATTATAACCCTTGCTGATCTTTGGAAGGATTCGTCAGATACTATCAAATGGTTTGCCCATATGAGTGATAAGGATAGTTAAGTTTGATATAATCGAATTTTATTCCTCTATCTCCAGGGACCTCATGGTTAATTATATTGCGGATAGAGTGGGGATCCATACTAATGATACTTACATTTTATTTAAGGATCACAAACCCAACTTCGCTAATAATACACAGCCTAGACTAATAATTCCAACTAAAACTAAACGACGTCTAATCTAAAAAATATGATAAAAAATAACCGATAAATTAGTAATTAAAACCTTTACTAATCTTTGGAATGATACTTTATATCCAATCAAATAAAAAAAAGAGTGGCATTTATTAAGTTTGATATAATAGAATTTTATTCCTCTATCTCCAGAGATCTCTTAGTTAATTGTATTAACTTTGTGAAAAACTATATGGAGATAATAGATGATGAGATTAATGTCATCTTAACTTCTAAGAAATCCCATGTAAGCACTTAATAATTCCACCTGGACTAATTGTCTTAATGATGATTTTGATGTTCCGATGGGACCCTATGATTCAGCCCGGGTTGCTGATTTAGCATGTTTTTTATATTTTACATATACTTATTAGAATTATAAATCCAGAACGAGTATTCATATATAGAGATGATGGACTCATTTTCATCCCCAATATTAATGGTCCACTAAATGCGAGGTTACAAAAGAAAAATCATTAGGCACCTTAAATTACTATGGTTTAAATGGAGATTTTATCTAAACTTCAAACAGTTAATTATCTAGATATTACCCTTAACCTTAATGACAAAACCTTTCAACCTTACTATGAAGAGAATGAAACCCCAAACTATGTTAATGTTCGTTCTAACTACCACAATGCAATTCTAAGAGAAAAACAATAAACCTGGTGTGGAACCTCTCTGTAATTGTAAAAATAGAGAAAATTGCCCACTTGAGGGCAAATGCAGATCTATTATATTTTGGAGAAAAATCGAATAATAAAATAAAAAATCGAAGTAAACTATTAAATTATATATATATATATATATATATATATATATATATATATATATATATATATATATATATATATATATATATATATATATATATATATATATATATATATATATATATAGGCACAGTGGGGTAGTAGTGGTTATCGGCTTGGATTGAGGGAGCCGAGTTCGAATCCAGATTGAATCCATTACATTCACTTACGTGCTAATACCCTTGGGAAAGGTGTGAATCCTCTTCTTCTCCCTCTAGCT